TGTCCCAAAGCAGAGACTGTGCCTTTTTGGAGTGAGACAAGGCATCCTTAAAAGACAACCCTAAAAGCAGCTCTGGTCCATGCACGGTGGTGAGAGCACTGGGCATGGAAGGAAGATGTCACAAGCGGCAAAAGGACTTTTCCGGGCGGTGCCGAGTGACATGGAAGCACACGAGGTTTCAGCGTGTTTCCAGGGGAAGCCTATGGAACAAGAAGGACTCCTCTCCTCTTCATGAACTGAAGTTTGAGTATACTAAAGTGTGGTGCCAGGCTGGGCAGTTGGTGATTTGGGAGAATGTATCGGATTGGGAAATTCAGGTAGTGGGGAGGAGGAAAGTGGTTTTTTGTAAGGTTTTCAATTTTTGTTTTTCCTTTTCCTTATAGTTTTCCCCTATTTTCCTGTAGTTTAGGTAATAGAGTGTTCTTTATGTTTAAGCTGGAGCCTGTTTTGCTTATTCCTGGTCACATCTCACAGCAGACACCAGGGTGAGGGCATTTTCATGGGGGCACTGGCTCTGTGCCAGGCTCAAACCATGACAAAGCCATTCTATGATTCCATGAGGAAATTCCAACATAATGGCAACAATTGCCTCAATTTCTGTGAGGAAATCCCAACACAATTTTTTCCATGAGGAACAAAGGTGTTGTAAGTGTCCCATGGTGCTGTGGTGGCTCCATGGTCAGCCTTCTATATTTGGGAGCTCAAATTCCTGAGGCAGATTAGAGGCTCTGAGCCCTGTAAGCAGCATTTAAGGGCAATTCCCAGTAGACATTCCTGCAAACACTGTGTGTGATGGAAGCTGTGGTTGCTGCAGCTCACAGGGATGGACCTGAGCTGTGCTGGGGGCTGAGGACATCACCATGGCTGCTGAAGTTGGAGCCGCTGGATCATGCAGCTGAATCAGGGGCTCCTGCAGTCACATTCACCAGCACGAGGAGCCAGGCTGGTGAATTTAAAGCTGAAGTTGTAAGCTGCTGCCCTGCCTGTGAGGCCGCACAAATGTATTCTGGTTATTGAATATGGATACAGCTTGGCCTCAGTGTTTGCTTCATAGAATCATTGAATCACAGAATGGTTTGTGTTGGTAAGGGACCTTAAACATCTCATGCCAAACCCTGTGCCAGGGGCAGGGATGTAAGGGGATACAGTATGGGTAAATGAAGATGGTATAGAATGTAATCTTATCCCCCAAAGAGTTGCAGCTGGAGCAATTACTAAGGATTAGGAGCAGGCCTGATGTTAACAGGCCACACCTGTAGCAAATAAGAAGAGTGTTATAAAAGAGTGGGTTGGTGGGAACCGGAATCAGTTGGCTGCTGCAAGGACCAAGAACAGTCAGTGCTTGCAGGAGCTGCCTATGATAAATATCAAGGAGTCATGAAAGGTGATATGGAATCCTTATGCTATAATGATAACTTTTAACATATAAGACAACATAGGGGCATCTTCCACCGTCCTAGGTTGCTCAATGCCCCATCCAGATTGGCCTCAAACACTTTCATGAATGAGGTATCTACGGTTTCTCTGGGCAATTTTTTTTTGCAGATTCTTTGCAGGAAGGTTGGAACTAGATGATCTTTAATGTTCCAACCTAGACCATTCTGTGGTTCTCTGGTTTTGAGTAGCATTGGTAGCTGACAGAGATTTTTGGAGCTATGCATGTGTGTACAACCAAAGGCAAACGTTAATTTGAAGAGTCCTGACTACAGTCATTTATCAGATAAAGGCCATGTCCATAGAGGTGTTTTCAGACACCAACCTGAGTTGAAAGTTAGATAGAAAACAAACAAACAAAAAACCCCAGCCACTCATCCACATGGGAACTGAGCATAGAACAGGGAAAAGTCTTGAAAAGAAACCACACAGAACTCTTGTTCTGCTACACAAACCTTTTGAGTCCTGTGGCTCCTCTGTGGACACAGCTACACCCAGGGATGGGATGATGAGAGGGAATAATGTGTTGGGTCCGTCTCTCCAGGAACCTCACCTGACTGGTTAAAGCTGGAGAGCTTTCCATGGAGGGGTGAAAACTTATCTGCCTGAACATGGAAGGAGAGCAGATACCTTTTATTCTTAATAATTTTTGTTAGTGTCCTGAATTTTGAATCTGTTGGTAGTTGACAGTTACACAGCTGTTAGAGGGGATGTTTCTGCACTACTTGATGTGCCCCTCACAGCTGCCCCACTTTTGGGACTGCTTTAGCTGCAGAGGGATTGCATTGCTGGCTCAGTGTCACTGAAATATGCTTTGAGAAGGTGGCTATGAGAGCAACCTGCATTGTTGACTTCAAACTGCTTGCTGTAATTTTTTAAAAATCTGATACTAAATAGAAAATGGATCTGAAAGTAAGTCAGAGCACTTCAATATCCTTTTCTTTGCTTCACTCCAGTCTTGCATATTTAATTTAATAGATACATTTTTTTTCTTCAATCATATGAACTAGGAGATTAATCTATTACATTTGTGTATTCTGCTTGCCTTGTGGCAGATTTTATACTGAGATGATTCAGGAATATTTTTTCAATGTATTCCTGAAAGATTGCATAATGAGATGAAGGGGGAAAATACATATTATAATTGAGTATAGTTGTAGAGTTGGCACTGTGTTTTATCATATTTCCTGTGTTGGTATGGGTTTGGTTTTTTTGAGACAAATAGTTTTCCTTTCCACTGTGCTGCAAGTTAGGATTCTAAACCATTGGTTAAGCTACAAAGATAATTATTCAGCCATGAAAATATTAATTCCAGAGGAATCAGATTATTATTTGCACCTGGATGCAAAATAGCAAAGGCTTTAATGATGTTTAGGTAGAACTTTATTAACATCTGAATATCTCTGGAGAGCTATGGTAACAGTAGGAGAAGTATTAAACTCAGAATTGTTTGTTTTCCTGCAAGTAAATGAGGAGAATTGCAACCGTTCTCCATGTGAGCCAGCTGAATATTTGCAGGAATTAACCAATTTATATCAGAGCCAGCATGGATCCACTCTTATCTGTCTTCTCCCCTTTCTTCTGCTCTATCATGTACAATGTTAGTTGCAAGGAAAGGAACAGGAGAAGATTGCCCCCAAAATATCCTTGTGTTCCAGTGTGAGGTACATAAATGTTTTCTGTAGCAGTGTTGACTGCTTGTAAGCATCATTTGAGAGTGTGTTATTTCTTCTGCTGCACAACCCCTTTTGGTGTACCCTGGAGAACATAGATATAACTATTTTTTGTGATGTATGTTATTTCTTCTTAAATCTTGTGATAAATGGTTTAAGTCCAGCAACATTGCAAGTCTTCTCCATGTGAGTCAGCTGAATATTTGCAGGAATTAACCAATCTACATCAGAGCCAGCATGGATCCACTCTTATCCACCGGCTCCTCCTTCTTCTGCTCCATCACAATGTCAGTTGCAAGGAAAGGAACAGGAGAAGATTGCCCCCAAAATAATCCCTGTGTGCACAGAGTAGCTCCTCCTAGGGCAGCAGAATTAGGGCCTGATGTCTGCAGTCATGGCAGGAAGGCAGATTTCTGCTGCCCCTTGGGTGGGATTGCTGCAGTCAGAGTGAGCTGCAGCAGCTGGAGAGCTCTGGTTGAAGAGCTCTGTGTCTGCAGCCCAAAGCTCTTGTGCCTGGGGTTGCAGACACAGCCACTGCCTCCCCTCCTTGGCTCATGGCCAGTCCTGCCTGGAAAAGACAGATAAACTGAAAGGAGCCCACCAGACTTTATGGATCACCACACCAGGCTGCCCCAAAGCTTCTCAAAAATCGAGCCTGTGGCTAAGTTTTCTCATTACCATTCTTTTAGGTGGTGCTTTCATGGGCCAGGAAGGGATGTGCAGTGTTGGAGGTGGGGTTCCCCTGTGGAAATGGAGAAGACTCCATCCAAACTAAGTGGCTAGTTTTCCTCTGTAGCCAGTGGGGAGAAACAAGTGTTTCTAGGAGGTGGTATCTCCTTGTCCCCTCTGTAACAGGTGTCTACAAATAGGCATGTGAACCCAAATTTGGTACATCTTCCAAATTTGCCCTGGACCAGAACCAATATTTTACCTTGATTAACTGCAGAGGGAGCTGGAGGTGGCTTTCCCCATATGAAACCATCTTATGAAGCTTGCATGTTATTTGAACATGGGTCTGTTCCTTCTGAAGAAGGTTATTCACCATTTCTGCCAACTCCACCCAAACTGGTTGAGAAATGAGATGTTCCTGAGGTTTATTTTAATCACAAATTTCTGGGCTATGAATTTGAAAACAGAGCTATAAACACAAAAAAAAAAAAAAGTAATTAAATGCGAGTCCAGATTATATGTGGGATCTGAATCAATACTATTAATAAGACAAATAGCTAATATTCTTTCCTAGCTAACTAGGAAGTTTCTTACTCTATTTCACTGAGTCTGCCCAGGGCTTATCTCAGCCCCAGAGACCAGGGGACTGATCTCCCCTCATGCCACAATTTTGCCTTGAGGTGCTCCTCAGAGCTGACCCTGGATGACATTTTCAGGTATCCCCCATACTGGGATTTATCTGCACTAATTTGCCTGGGATTCCTCTGAAACTGACAAAGAGGGAAAGGCTCTTGCAGGAGGAATCATTCCCATATCTGGAATCCCAGCCTATCATGGGATGACTTGTGCTCAAGTGTGGCTTGCTCCATTGATCAAAGAGGAAACCTCCTTGGCTGCTGTAGATCAGATACTGTGATGGACAGGAATTTTCCATCAATCCTGCTCTAAGAGACTGGGAAAAAAAAATTCCAGTGGAATGTGCCTCCTGTCTATCAAGTGCTTTTGCAAATCCCTCCTTCTGCCCCAGCATTTGTGCTGCACAGCATTTGGTGAGAGCTTGCTCTGTGATGAGACACGGCAATCATCAGAGCTGCACAGTGTGTTCCACACCAGCCACTTCCTCTCTGGTTTAATTACATCTGAGTTTGCTAATCCCAGCCTTGATTAATGAGCTTAATATGCAAATGTTATGATGAAACTGAACCTCTTTGTGATTGCTTGCAGACAGATTACCACTTCGAGTACACGGAGTGCGACAGCAGTGGCTCCAGGTGGAGGGTGGCTGTCCCCAACCCGGCCGTGGAGTGCTCTGGACTGCCTGACCCCGTGAGAGGGAAGGAATGCAGTATGTTGTGACTTCTCATTTTACAGACTGTTACTGCTTTTTTGTGCTGTTTACATTTGTAAGGTTGTCACTGATGTCCCCAGTTTCCCTGAGTTGTCCTTCCCCTCCAAGCCAGCTTTCTGCCTGCTGGAGATGTGGAGCAGGGATTGTCTGTGCAGTGTATCCATGAAAGGCACTGTCTGCTGCAGGTACCCTTGTATGCTGATTCACAAACACATCTCTGACAGCATCCTCCAAAGAGCTGTGGTTGCTTGTCTTGAGCTCCCCTGCTCTCCAGATTGCAGCTCTCCAGTCATTTACAGCTGTATTGGCCAAAATGGTGACCACCAGTGGTCAAACTATATTTGCATAGTGTCCACATTTGCGTTATTTCCATTATTTAGCTAATTTATAAACAGAATTTCATTATTTAGCTAATTTATGACCTGAATTCTTTACAAAGAATGGTAAATGTCTTATTTGCCTCAGTTATTTTTATGATAAATCTCCTGCATTTTATTTATTTAAGTGTTTATTTTTTAACAATTTGGAGTGTTTTCATATCACTTGGTTCTGCTTTTTTTTTTAATGTTGAAACACTTTTTTGCATCTGGGGGATATAAACAAACTGCTGCTCTGCAAACACAATCCGCACTGTTTCATTGCTCCCCAGTCTGAATGCTCTTTCCTATCACACTTCCTTGCTCCAGCAATTCTCTCCACAAAAGATCCTAGCAGTAATTTATACCTGAGGGTATAAATTATTGTATCTGACAAACAGGATGAACAATGGCTATGTCTTTTCAGTTCTATTGCAGCAGATGTCAAATTTACTCACTTCTGACTCTGCTCCTCTAAAGGTTTATTTTCATTTCTCTGTGTTCCAGTGTGAGGTGCATAAATGTTTTCTGTAGCAGTGTTGATCACTGGAAGGTTTCTGACTGCTTCCAAGCATCATTTGAGAATGTGTCATTCCTGGTATTTGGATTTAGTTTCCAAGGTTTTAAATGTGGAATCTCTGTATATCCTTCGGATGGGCTTTTTCAATTACAGAAATCTAGACCTGAGAAGCACCTCAGGTGATCCCATAGCTCACCCTCCAGCCCAAATAGCTGTAGTAGCAATGACTGTCATTCATGGCTGATATTTGGCTGGGCTGTTTTCAGGCACCTCTTGTGATGAAGAGCCCAGAAGCTCTCCAGATATTTGCTCATATATGTAGTTCTTTTCATTTTCCCTCCTGTTAAAGATTTTTCTGCTGTTGAATCTCCCTTGTTACACTTCAAGCCTATCACTTTTTGCTGCCTGCACTATAAAGGAGCTGATAGTTTTATTTCTTCTGCTGCACAACCACTTTTGGTGTACCCTGGAGGACATAGGTATAACTATTTTTTTGTGATGTATGTTATTTCTTCTTAAATCTTGTGATAAATGGTTTAGGTCCAGCAATATTACACTATCCTCAACTTTCTGCTACAGATCTTGACAAATGGTTCACTTTCCTCTCCATCTTCTATTGTTTGTGCCTGTTTCTGGTCTTAAATCAATTCCAATGAGAATTCAGCTGGTTTATAACAATAGATGAATCTGGCTTTTCAATATCTGGCCCCTGCTAGACAAGGTGAAAACTTTTCCTGGGAGATGGGCTCTGATATTATACACCAAAATACAGAATTCTGTTAAATATACTGGAAAACTTTTCTCCTTCTTGTAGTGTTGCTGTTAAATCCCATGGCAATTCAGCTGGTTTGAGAAGCAATCAGATGTTTGACTTTTTTACTGAACCCCTCAGATCCCATCTCCCTGGGCTCTTGGAGTTGTATATTTTCTTTCTGTGTGTAGTAAATTAACTGGCAGCAGGGGCTGTCTGGCTATGTCCTGATGGCAAAAGTAATTTTAGGTTTTCTCATCTCTTAGTCTTTCACCTTTTGCTTAAAGAACAACCAATCTTTCAGCCTGAAAACATGAATCTGTCAACAGCAGTCAGTCACTGTGGGAATGTGTGGGGAACACCTTTCACATTCAGCTTGGTTAGCGTAGTGGTTTTTGCTGTAAAATATTTTAACCAGCAGAGAGTTTGGCTGACAGTCCATTCTCCAGTGGGTGGGATAAACTGGGAGAGGCAGCTTTTGAAAAGTGACTGCCCAAAAAACCTCTGGAGTTTGCATGTGGGGTCTGTTGTTGATGATGAGTTGTGTTGAAGGTGCTGACAGATATCTCCTTGTCACATTCTCTAAGCTGGTGGCTTCTGTCTCACCTGACAATGCAGCAGCTGTACCAAGGACATCTTACTCTAAAAGCATGAATTTCTGCAGCCTAAGGAAAACAAAAGGTTCTGTATCTGAGGCTTCTACAAGTCATGTTCTTTGTGGATTGTGTGCAGAGTGAGATTTGTGCTGCAGGCTTGGCCAGGGTTTGCACACAACTCACATTATTGGCCCTTTGAGATGCATTCCTTCTCTTAGGCCTGGTGCTATTTTATCCCAAGGTCTATGAAGAAATGCCAGAACTATGCCGTATCCTCTGAGCTGAGTCTTTCTGGACATTCTACAAATTTATTCAGATTCTCCTACATCTTTCAAGTCCTACCCTATGCCAGGACATAGGAACTGGGGCTCGTTCTGGAATTTGGTAGAATCCTGGAGTCCCCTTGGGTTTCTCCTTGGTCCTTCAACCTGCAGAATCAGGGCCTACAGTAAAATCACTCTGGGTAGGACAATTTCCAGCTTCCAGTTTCCCCCTTCCAGAGGTCTGCTATCTTCAGAAGTTGTGTTCAGCATCTATTAGTCCTGAGATACCCTGTGGCCAGCAATGTCTCTGCCTTTAAGAGAGGGTTGCACTTGTGTAGCAGTTGCAGTTGTGAAATAGCATGAGTTCTTATGGTGTTTTTTTTATTGTTTCCTTGGGGTTAGTAGAGCTCTTAGTGGACACAATGGTATGAGGGAATCTCTATGAGAAAGTGATTTCTTTTGGAGCACATCTGCCATCACTGCTGACTTCACAATGTTTGCAGTTGTTTCCATCTACTCAGAAATGCTGCTGGTTGGGAATATCTGCCGCTGGTCTTTACTGCTCCCTGAAAAGAGAAGTGATGTGCAGTCTGTCATTAATTTTGAATCCTGAGAATACTGTGCCAACCTCTCCTTCTTCCAAATGCTCAGCAGTCCCTCTCTTTAAATTGTGTCTGAACTAGAAATGTGAAAGATGGCATAACAATATGTTAAATGTCTGCTGCTTTGTAAATACGTCTAGACTGTGGCCTCTAGTGGAGTGGAAAGACATTTGAGATTGCTAAAAATGTGTTAGCTCAGGTGCTTCTCATATCTGGAGCAATTGGACTGTGGCATCAGAGCTCAGTCGGTGTCCCGAGATGTGCTCATGTTCAGGATGTTGTGTTTTACTGCTTCTCATTTGGATGAAACCATTTCAAATTAGCTTGGGTGTCTCTGTGCTCTGCTGCATTTTGGAGCACACAGTGACCTGCAAATCACAGCTGACTGTGTCCTGCTGAGCACAGCCTCAACATTCCCTGAAACTGCTGTAGGCTCCAAAACCTGCCAGGATCCTACCCCATTTTTGAGTCTTCAGAAACTTCATCAGCACAGCTTACCTGCAGAGAAGAGAGTGTCCTCAGTAGACAGGGCTGTCATATTTTGACTGCTTTGTGACCTGGTTACTAGGAGAAGGATTTTTATATTTTTTTCTTTCTATGAGCACAGAGCAGAGGAATGATCCACCTTCCCCTCCTGCTGCCCTCCTGCCCTCCACATCTCTCCCATGTAGGTGGGGAGGAAGGAGGAGGCTGACATGACAGATTTTTGTGGTGCTGTAGGAAGTCCTGCTAAGCAGTGACCCAGATATGTAAGGGAAGCTGCAGCAGCAGCTCTGCAGTTGCAGCATGCCCTGTTCTGTATTTCACCCCCCTCTGTTTTTTCCTTCCTCTGTGGGGCTGCAGTCATCACCACTTTCAAACCCTGCAGCCTGTGTGCATGGTGTGGTACCTCTGTGGGGCTGGCCACAGCTGTGTCACCTGTGTCATGGCCACACCAGACTGCTTGGGCATCTCTCTGAGGTTTCTGTTTGTTCAGAGCTGAGTCACATTTCTGGTGCTGCCACATCACGGTTGCAAGGGTTCCTGTGAAGAGATGCATTAAAAATCCAGAAAGATTTTGGCTAGGGAAAAGGTAATATTTATTACTCCTAGAGCTCTTCTGGCTCTCCTCTGCTTCCCATTTAAGGTATCCCCTCTGGGCATCTTCCCAATACTGTTCTGGAGGTCGGGTACATACAGGGAGGTGGGAGTGGCAGAGATCCTCCTTCTGCAGAATCCAGACCTCTGAATCACTCCTGACAGTTGGGAATGTGCTTTACTAATTTGATCTCCTTCATTTTTAATTACCACAGATCTCCCTCTGATCCCTCCATGAGTCTGATAGCAGGAAGGGAGTTTAGCTGATAAGGATCACTGCCATCAGGGCAGTTTCTTGGCTTTTTAAATGGAAAATATTGATGGCAGTCCCCGGGAGCAGCATCCTTTAGGGCTAGGCCCTTTTCTCCACCCCCGATGGCTGGGATCTCTGGGAGCCCTTTGGTTTGGTGTGGGGCTGTAGGCAGTGTTTAATGGGGACTTTTTGAGATTTGGCAGTGGGAGCAGCACTTGGCATGGTGCTCCTGCTGACACTGCACTGCAGCCTGTTTTTGTGACTACCATCAGGCTCTTCTGCCAGCCTGACCATATGCTGCATGATTTACAGTCCAGACTCTGAGTTTGGACCTTCCCTTCCCTTCCCTTCCCTTCCCTTCCCTTCCCTTCCC